TTTTTGTTCTGATGATGCCTTATACCTGATCCCTTCGACACCTCGTGCTCGCATAGGCTGAGTAGAATTTCTAAAGTAGGACTCAGCTGGATGTGAGGCAACGTTTCCTAAAAAGGAGGAACCCCTCCAAAGGAGCAATGACCTTCTGTGAGACAGAGAAGTTACCCACCACAGATGGGACCACCACGTGTGGACAGTATTTTAGAGAAGACGCCAGGGTCTAAATGAAGCTTCCTTTCCATAGTCACTTGTAGCCTTGACAATCCGATGCCACAGAAATCAGAGGCAACAATAGGAAAAGTGATGGTAATATCTCCCATTTGTTAAGGACTTATCTTGGTCGAGGAAATGTGCCACACTCCAGCATGCGTTCATTTTATCATCTCATCTATCCGTCAGTCAACAGTGCTTACTGAGTGCACATTTCTGTCCAGTATTATGCAACACACAAACTGTGTATGGCATGGTTTCTCGCCTCAAAGAGCTTCTAATCTAGCAGCTGATCAAAATTTGCATACATACAGCACACTATCTATATGGACATCTTTCATTTCGTAAAATCTATTTTTTTACATTTATTATTTCACATATTCCTTGAAACGCAGCTGAAAGCCAGGTGGTTGTTGTTGTTTACCCTATTAATGAATAATAAAGACTAATATTTTAAGTCACCTTTTGTGTTAGGCTGCGTGATTAGAGAAACAAACCCAGTGACACTCGTATGTGTAAGAAAGAGCTTTGTGTCAAGAAGTAATTATAAATACTGTATATGCTCGTCAGGAGATGAAGGCTGCTAGGCGTTGGAGAGCAGACAGAGTGAACTATAAGGGGATGAGCCCACCGTGGGCTCAAGACCATGAAGGCCAGGCCCTCCTTGGACCATCAGACAAATCAAGATGCCTGCTCATTAGACCAGTCCTGGCCCAGCCTCTAGGAGGTAATATGTGATCCACAGTGACTTACAAGTCAGCATCTTACCATGCTCGGTTGTGCAGCTAGGCTTGGTTGGAGAGATGGGGAAGGGAGCAGAGACCCTCAGTGCCATGTCCACCCAAGCCCTGTCTGCCTAGTTGAGCCTCAATTACCTTTGTCTTCCCTGCATTAGACCTCAGCTTCTCGGAACACCTGGGAGATGCTGGTTTAAGGGCAAGAATCCATTAACCCCATTCCTAAGCTACACTCCTCTGGAGTGAGCTTTACTAATGGGGAACAGTCCTGTCCCCATTCATACTCGATTGGTGAGTCTGGCAGGAGGAACTAGGTGCGCATAGTGCTGCCCCTCCCTGACTTAGCATCTGATGGCCCTAGCAAGCTTGTCTTCCGCTCCCCTAGCAACCGTGAGGGGCCTGACTCCACAGGAAGGCTGTGGTGACTCCATTCTCCCTGTGTCCAGCCGGGAAGCCCATTTCACCTGAGACAGAAGCCACGTTCTCCAGTATCGGCGTTGTCCCTGATAATGGTAATATTTTGGTTCTCTGTTTGCTTTGTTCTTTCATCGCTTCATTGGTGTAGGACCCTGGCATGGAGGAAAAGGGTGTTTTCTATTGACCCCTTCAAATGCCCGGAGCTACGTTTGCAGAAAACAAATGTGCTCTGTGACTGGTGGGGCCAGAGGGGAAGTAAAGGGGCCATGGTGGTGGTGGTATCGGCTCCCTCGATGAACGATGGCTGAACCCTCTTCTTCCAAGATTAGAAGGAGAGGCCTACTGCTCGGCATCAGAAGGATGGGCCCGATGACCTTTTTAGAAGTGCGGAAGGTCCCCCCACTTAAACTGCCAAAAATGCTCTTGAACAAAACCTGTCACACAAACCCAGTAAAACAGATCCAGTAGAAGCCGGGACCATGCAGCTTCCGTTTCACTCACCAGTGGGCTTGTGAAAGATCCCCACTCCCGTCCTGAGAACCCTCCACTCTCTGGCCTGGCCACACCCGCATGCATTCTGCTGAACGCATGCATTCTGCTGACTCCTTGAATGAAAGGCAGACACCCGGACGTAAATGAAATACAATGCAATTTATTGAGAGAAGAAGGCGGGATGTGTTCACTACCAAGGAGGGTCCCCAGCTCAGAGAATGAAAGGACAGCAGCCTGTCGGAATACAGGGCCCAGAGGAGCAGAGGGTACCCCGGACAGCCCAGAGTCTAGACAGGGTCACCAGCCCACCCTCCAGCACTGGCCCTCCACACCGCCCTCCTCAGGCAGTGTTGCAGATTGCCAGCAGGCTGCAGCCCGGAGCTGAAGGCCCAGCGTGGGTGCAGCCTGGTTGGGAAGGCTCCGACCTGGGCAGATCAATGGCCCAGACCTGGGAGGGCGCTGGTATTGCTGGGCACATTCAGAAGTCATCGCAGGAGCTCATTCAGGGGCGTGGGTATCCCCCGACCGGCAGTGGGACCTCCTTGGCCAAGGAGAGGTTTGGGAGATGGAGGAGCCAGGAGGTCAGCTTTCTCCAGGGAACTTGAGGCACAGAGAGGTTGAACGGTGAGCATTTGGGGGAGCAAGCAGAGAGTGGGGCGTTCTGGTGCAGGCTGCGAGAGAAGCCAGTGGGACCGAGCTTGGGTCCCCGGGATCACTTGGAGGCATGCTGGCTCGAGCTGGTGGCCTGGGAGAAGCGGACGCCGATGCTGCTTCCACCGCCGGACTTGTAGCCGCTGCTGCCTCCAGAGGTCTGGACGCTGCTTGAGCTGCTTTGGCTCACTGAGCTGCTGCCTCCGCCGCCCAGCCGGCTCCCGCTGCCGCCGCTGCTCTGGTAGCTTCCACTGCTGCCCGTGACCCCGCCATGGCCACTGCCACCGCTCGCTGCCCCGTAGCCACCGCTGCGGCCTCTGCTGCTGCCGCCGCCACTGAGGCCCCCATAGCCGCCGCTGCCGCTGCCACCAAGCCCTCCGTAACCGCCACGGCTGCTGCTCGTGCTGCTGACGCTGCTGACCACCGCTGCAGAGGACACGCACTGCGGTCAGGCGAAAGGCCAGGGAGGCCCACTGGCTCACTGCTGTCCAGTCGATGCCGACTCGACAGAGCAGCACTGCCCCCGTGTATTTCCCGGAGGACAACTCTCCGCGGGAGTAGAAAGCCTCCTCTTGGTCCCTAGGAAAGCTAGAGGCCCGGATTGACCTCCCCACTCTACTCTGGGGCTGTGTGACTTAACGAAAGATGCTCCCCTTCTCGGTGGCCTGACCTCTTTTGCAGTTTGTAAACCACAGGCGTGAGCTTGGCCAAGGGTGTCCCCTGGAACTTCTCTTTCTCCAATCTAGTGAACTCCCCAAGACATGATGGTTAGGGATGGGGGGGGGGGGTTGTGGGGGCGGGTGTTAGATTTGGACTGAAACGTTGCCAGATGAGCCAGCGGCTCCTGCCTGGACGTCGTCGGTCAGTGAGGATATTTCTAAGGGCCCTTTCTACAACCCTGGGAGAACGTGGTTGAACAGACGACTTACAGATGCTCACAGCGCTCTGACATTCCCCAGACATCCTGCAAAGGAAGACAAGAGGTGTGAATGACCCAACCAGCTGACAGGGGACAACCTTGGGAGCCATATCTGGCCATCTGCCCTGCTAGAGGGTAGAGGGTAGTCCACGCCCATCTCCAGGACCAGACTCTCCAGGACAGGGGCTGCTTCCGGGGTGGGACTTCCAGTCCCGGCACCAACTACCCTCCATCGGCCTTCCCGCATCAGCGTTCCTTGAGCCCCAAGGCCTTCAGCTCCAGACGAATGACTTCACCTCTCAACCCTGCTTGGTGAGCCGAGTCCCACCTCCTGCCCCGTGACTAAAGACCATCTTCCTTCCTGCGTATCGCCGCTTTCACCTTCTCGACTCGGCTCTGCCTCTCCCCCAGGAATCCTTCCCAGGGAGCACTCCCAGAGTGATTGGTGGGGTGGAAGGTGGGTAGAATCTGAGGAGAGCTGGTACCACATAATGAACTAGATAGGAACTTGGGCACATCATGCCCACATCACCCACCCACGTGCACCCTGTTTCCGTTTACGGAGAAGGCAGCTTTCCATCGATGGAACGGTCTGGTTACCTGGTCTGGTTACCTGGTCTGTGCAGGCCCCATCGGGGCCACCCTCCCTCTGCGTCCCTCCACTCTTAATGCGCTTAGCACTGATTTCATTCTCCTGCCTGGAGCAACCCATTAAACGTTACATAACTCTTCTTATACTTGGGTTTTGCTTCCTCCATTCCATTGGAAGCTGCCTGAAAACAAAGGCTCTTGGCAAAGAATTCGTGGGCAGTGGGTCCGCAGAAAGATCTCTCAATTCTTGGCATGCGCTTGGCATTTGGTAGTCACCCGTGACATGCGTAGCATTGTGTCATTTTTTTCAAGAGTGCATGTGTGTCTGCCACCTCCCCGTATGGACTCGGTCGCAGGGGAGGGGCAGCTACAGGCTCATCCACAAGGTAGTCACCACTAACTACATGAGGCTACTTCCGTGCGTTTAAATGAAATTGAAAACTGACGAGCCATGTTGCAAGTGTTCGAGTGGCTAATGGTTACTGTGTTAGACAACACGGATAGAGAACCTTGTATCATTTTTGCTATAGCAAGGATCAGCAGGGCCTTGCGATACACTACTGACATTCACAGCGAAGATAAGAATGGCATGATCTTGATTAGCCACAACCAAAACAAATGTGGGACTTGAATTGAGTTGTCCTCTCCTTAAGATCACCATTGCTCCTCTCTTTCCTTTCTTATCAAAAAAATCACTATAAAATTCTTTCTGGAAAATGCCGGCCCCATGGCTTCTCACCTGCACTCCTCGCCCTCCAGCAGCTTCCTGTAGGTGGCGATCTCCACGTCCAGGGCCAGCTTGACGTTCATCAGCTCCTGGTAGTCCCGCAGCAGCCGGGCCAGGTCATCCTTGGCCTTCTGCAGGGCGTCCTGCAGGTCCTGGAGCTTGGCATTGGCGTCCTTGAGGGCCAGCTCCCCGCGCTGCTCGGCTTCCCCAATGGCTGCCTGGAGGTTAGCGTTCTGGGAGGAAAGTGATAGAAAACCAAGGGCTATAACAACCAAGGAGCACGCCGTGGTCTTTCATGGGAGGGGAGCTCTCCCCCATCCAGCATCCATCCCTCCATTTTCTTAGAAATCCCAACAGGACCTCCTTGGAAAACAGATGATTTCGCAAGGAGTTCATTCATTCACCTCCAGCCCCTGGAGATCAATCCCTATCTCATTAACGAAAAGACGTCAATTGGCTCTCCTGCACTGGTAAGGTAGGGGGGATCTGGTAAGGCTCCCATCTTTCTTTCTTAGTGATTTCACCCTGAGGATGCCAGGCAGCATGGAGGTGAAATGAAGAGAGTGATCAATAGCCCAGCTCAGGACAGATCCTGCTGAGAGCTGAGGATTCAAGGCCACCACAGGGGCTGCACGAAGTCCTAGGCAAATGAGAAAGAGCAAGCATCTCTCCTGGGGGACCAGTTTGCACTAGGGGACTAAGATAAGGATAGTACACGTGGGAGGGCAGAGGTTTCCAGAGACAGCACTACTTTATGGGGACACTGTGAAAGGCCCGAGAAAGTGTGTGGCGGAGGCACACAGACATGACTGCGTCTCCCAGGGCCCAGACAACCTCCAGGCACTCTCTATAAAGCCTGAACCCACCTGCTTCTTGACGTTCTCGATCTCGGCCCGCAGCCTCTGGATCATCCTGTTGAGCTCCATGATCTCGCTCTTGGTGTTTCTCAGGTCATCGCCGTGCCTGCCGGCCGTGGTCTGCAGCTCCCCAAGCTGACAACGGAGAAGTCTGTCAGCAGCACGCCACCAAGTGTTGGGACAGTCGCTAGGAAGGTCACTGGGTTTGAAAACTGTCTCCTCTCGAGTGTGGGGGCAGGAAGTGGGCCCCCTACCTTGGTCTGGTACAGGCCCTCGGCCTCAGCCTTGCTCCTCTGAGCAATGTCCTCGTACTGGGCCTTGACCTCAGCGATGATGCTGTCGAGGTCCAGGCAGCGGTTGTTGTCCATGGACAGCACCACGGACGTGTCGCTGATGTGTCTTTGCATCTGGGACAGCTCCTGCAAGGAACCGAGATGGTCACCCTCTCACGCTGCTGGCCCCAAGGGATGCTGGAGATGAAGACGTTCAAGAATCTTCTACCAGCAGAGATATTCCAGGAATGAGGCCTGAACAGGGAGCTTCTATCCTGGGCCTGGCTCTCACCCCAAGAAATCTGGACCAAGGCAACTACAATCAGGTGGCGAAGCTACTGCCTGGGCTTCCAGGGGGCTGCAGAAAGGGGGAACATTCAGAAAGCGCACACTATGATGCTGAAACAGGAGCCATCGCGAAGGTGAAGCACCGAAAGGACTGGCCCCAAGGGATGAGTTACGTGGGCAGAGAGAGGTATGGGCCGGGTCTGTGCAGGCCGGGAGCTAAGTCAACATTTCCTGGGGTGCGGGGGAGGCAGGGGGGGCAAGGGGGGGGCAGAAAGGCACGGCTGAATTCTGAGTCCTGGTGCTGGCTATGTGCGCGCCCTGCTGCTGGACTGTCCTCTAGAGCAGCTCTAGCGTTTCATTTGCAGACAGGAGCAGAGTAAGCGGGGCCGCGAGGACTCACCGTCTCGTAGAGCGTCTTCAGGAAGTTGAGTTCATCTGAGAGACTGTCCACTTGGGCCTGCAGATTCACCTTGTTCATGTAAGCTGCGTCCACATCCTGGGGGAAGGTCAGAAGCCCAGAGCAATGACCCTCTGTCCCGGCCCACCCCACACCCTTGGCTCTTCCTAAGCCTTCACCGGTCCTCTTGGCCCTTCCCCTGCTGTGACTGCGTCCGGCTCCTCCAAGTGTGACTTCTCACTTTCCTTTCCCTCTTAAAAGAAAGCAAACCACAGTGGTTCTCTTCCTTCCAACAGCCTCAGCCCATCCCACCCCTCGGCTTTCACAAAATGCAAACCGTATTAGCCAGACACAGAGTAGCCATCTGCCTTTTAGGGTGGAAGAATCACACTTTCTCAATCTGCAACGCTGTATCTGGTACCAGAAACCCGACCTCCTGAATAGGGAAGAGGGACTCCCTTCTCTCTGCTTTCAATGGGTGGCTTAAACGAGCTACCATGGTTTCAGTCGCTGATGGTTATTATTCATAGGAAGGCTTTACACTTTTGAGGATATTGAGCGTCTGATAAGGGTGATGGGAAAATTCAGGGACGGTGTTGGCTGAACATGGCGAACATACTAAATGTCATTGGACTGGGCAGGTGAAAATTGTCCAAATGACAAATGTTGTGTTACCTATAGGTTTATACAATGAGAAAGAAATAATAATACCCAGGGTATTATTGTAAGCTTAAAACTGTCACGAAAATGTTCATTATTTGTCCGCGTTGCTAATCATCTCATTAGTCGCATGAACATTTAAGACGTCTCCCAACCAGCAATATATTCAAGGTCATTTTCCTCCTCAAACACCTCCTTCCCCAAAATGTAAAGAAATACCACCCTCCCTGGGTGGGGCAGCCCCCCAACACACACAAGGTAAATCCTGGATCTGCCCTTCGCAGCTCACCCACCTTCTTGAGTCCCACAAACTCATTTTCTGCTGCAGTGCGTTTGTTGATCTCGTCTTCATACCTAGAGCAGAAAGAGACCACCTTTGGACCGAGGCCTTTCGCAAGTGACTGAAAGAGATGAGGATCCTGAGCACGCACTTGGAATCTCCTCACTCAGGGATCGAACCAGCGTCTTGGGCGTGTGGCCTGTGCAGTTGCCCAGGGCCCTGTGTTCCTGAGGTCTTTGCTTTTTGATTTCAGGCCCACTTGTCACTGTCTTGAAATTCTCAATACATTCATTTTATAACATTTGACCCCAATTCCTACAAATGATGTAGCCGGTCCTGCCCAAGATCTTTCAAAAGTTCAAGGTACTTGCTTCTCTTTCCTCTGAGTCTTAGTGACAGAGGTGTGAGCCGGTGGACAGAGATGGGGAAGATGTCACGGAGCCTGGCTACTTAGCTAGGCTCTTTGATCAACCTCACAAAGCACAAGGTGCACGTGTGGGACCCAGAGGGAGAGTTACTCATTTCTGTCTCTGTTCCCTCTGCTTCTCTTTCATTGATTACAGGAATTTGCTTCTATAGGAATTGGGGGGGGGGGGGTGTGGTAAGCTCATGTCTTCTGAAAGCATCAAGACTATAAGGTCTCTGTTGATGACTCAAATCTCCCACCAAGAATTTTGATTTTTTGAAGACAGAAGAATTGGGATGATTCTAGAAAAGAGGTCTCTGGAAGTGTGGATCTGAGCGGCCTGAATCCCCAAGGGTCAACCTCAGAGCCTACCACAGAATGGTTGCCCACCCCAGCTGCTGTGACTGAATTAGAGGGAGACCTTTGGGGAAGGTGGCTGAGAAGACCTCCCTAGCAGTACTCATCCCTGTGGGTTCTGGCCCTTGGAGGTATCTGGAAGCCCCTCCTTTGAGATACACGGTGTACCCCTGAACTCCAGTTCCCCACACACAGGAATGGACTCCCTGACACTGCAGAAACAGGGGCTTGCCCTGGACACAATGAAAGAGCACTTGACCATGGGCAGCTCTGGACCATCTTCCCAGAATCCTGAGACTGGTTCAGAATATCTAATGCCACATAGATATGGACCTTTTTTTTAACAAACGTTCAAGGTGATTCCCAGGGACAGTAAAGTGTGGACGGCTCCCCACCCTGAAGAGCTTGAAGCCTTAAGAGCATGCTTTCCTCAACCAGGGCTGCGAGAGGAGGGGCCTGCATGGCTTCGGGGCCTGGAATCTACAGGCAGCCACCCAGACATCTCGGTCCTAATTCTCTCGCTTCCTTTCTGCTCTGTCATGCTTCCTTCAAACCCATCCAAGAGTATTGAGGGAAGGTGCAGCCTGAAACGGTTGGCATTCCAAATGGGGACCACACCTCCCTGCTAATCCCCCAGAAGGGGAAACTCCCCAGCTGGGGGGCCTCACTTCTTTTTGAAGTCTTCCACCAGGTCCTGCACGTTCCTCAGCTCTCCATCCAGGTTCCCTCTCTCCCCCAGAAGCAAATCCAACTGCCGGCGCAGGTAGCTGATGTAGGATTCAAAGAGGGGTTCTAGGTTGTTGGGGCCTGAGCCGGATCCTGAGCCCTGCTGCTGCAGCAGGTTCCACTTGGTCTCCAGGACCTTGTTTTGCTGCTCCAGGAACCGCACCTGCATCAGGAGAAGCAAGAAACGGAGTCAGCCCCTTGATTCGGGGCCCACCCACTTCCCAAAGAGCACAGCGGCCTGGCTCTTTGGTCTGCAACGGCCTTTGTTTTATGAAGTTTGGGAAGGATGAGAATTTAGAAAGGGAAGAGCTAGCATCTATTGAGTCCTTACTCTATAAGCTATTTCCTATTTCACTTAGTCCTGACAACCACCAGCACGTAGGGTGCAATTGTTCCCCATTTTGTCGATTAGGAAACTGAGGCTCCAATGGTGTTAGTGAGTCAAGTCCCCCCATAGTCACGTGGCTGTTGAGTGACAAACCCGAGAGTCACACCCAGGTATGCTCTAATTCTGTTGGGACCCTCAGACTACTACAAAAAAAGATCACCGTGAATAAAATTATTTGTGTTTTAAGCTTTTTATGCTCATGAGAGCAACCCAACGATGCTAACTTCTCCTTCGTTGTTTCTCGTATGAAGAGCCCGCTCCCCTGCAGCGGACCCAGGTAGAACTTCCGGTCTTAGGCTCATTCTCCTAGCAAACCTGCACCCCATCTCCACTTCAACATGGGCAGCTCACTCTCAGACCAGCGAGAAGCACCGTATCATTCCGAAGACAAGTCAGTTGCCAGTATGCATCGTGTGGAAAGAAGCTCTCCCAAAGCTTGTACCGAGGCAAATTTGATTACAGCTGGTTTGAATAGCCAAATAATTGCTTTTCAGAAGTAATCATAACTTCACTGTAATCATTCCATGGCTCAGGCCCCATTCCTCAAAAGATCTAAGAGCGCATTGAGACATCCACTTCGTTCGGCCTGGTGAGAGCTAACGCTAGACGGTAATCAGAAGCAGAAAGCACCCTCCATTTCCCAGACGTGACTATGAGGCCCAAAGAGGGCGAGGGGGTGCTCACTGTCCCACGGGGGTCAAAGAAGAGCCAAGCCAGGATCCAGTCACCCCTACCTCCAGTCAGGCCCAACTCCAGCGACATCTTTCTACCCCAGCTCCTTGTATGGCCCAAGCTCGCTCTCGCACCTCTTGGCTCTAGTCTCACCTTGTCGATGAAGGAGGCAAACTTGTTGTTGAGGGTCTTGATCTGCTCGCGCTCCTGGGCCTTGACTTGCCCGATCTGGGGGTCGATTTCCACATTGAGGGGCTGCAGAAGGCTCTGGTTGACAGTCACTTCTTGGATGCCTCCAGGAAAGCCACCAGGGCCAAAGCCACCAGGGCCACCAAAGCCACCAGGACCACCAAACCCACCAGGACCGCCAAAGCCACCAGCTCCTCCAAAGCCCCCAGCTCCCCCAAAGCCACCTCCTACTCCCCTGCCGCCACCAAAACCACCCCCAAAGCCAGCTCCATAGCCACCCCCATAGCCACCTCCACAGAGGCTACGTCCTCCGCCAAAGCCACCAGCCCGGGAGCCACCAGCTGCGACACTCATGCAGATGCTCTTGTTGCCACCCAGGTTGTAGAGGCTGTGGCTTCCAAAGCCACCGCCTCCACTCCGGAAGCCACAGGCCCCTCCGCTGGCTCCCCCAGAGCGGGCCACGCAGCTCATCCTGCTGCTGCCGGAGACCACGGCGGAGCGGCCAGAGAAGCCCTGGCTGCCACTACTGAAAGACTTCTTGCAGACTTGTCTGTTCATGGCGCGAGAGTGTGGAGACCAGCTGGAGCTCCCTTAGCAAGAACAGAGAGAGATGGAGGCAGAGGATGGAGACGACAGAGGAGCCTGGCTTTTATATGCCAAGAAGTTTGACTCGGCGAAAGGAGAGGCAGGCAATTAGCTGAGAGTCATCTTGGGTTTGGTTTGCCTCCCAGGCAATAAGTTACTTCTGGTTCCCAACACGCCTCAAAGATAATCTTCTGGACCAAAGTGGCTTTGCTTTCTTTGCCTAATCACCCAAACTTGCCTCCGTTGACAAAAGACCAGAGCTCACCTCCCTCCCTGTACGTAATTTCCTCAAGGGTCCTGGGGGAAGCCAAGCAGCACCTGGTAGAGCAAGATGAATGGAGTTTGGACACCGTGGATTAGGTGCCAGCCGCCATGCCACAAGGCATGAGGAGCAGGCAACCTCTTCCAGAGCCTTTTCCAGCAGTGCCAGTGTGTCCACAGGCTCAGGCAGTGACCCAACCTGTCTCTTCCACCATGGGCATTTTCTTCCGGTGGCACATCACTTACGTCCAGCGCTTCAAAGAAATATCCCAAGAAGGGTCTGGCGTGCAGAGGAAGGGGCCTGCATGACAGAGCAGGATCCGTTGGCCCACCCGTGCAGCCCCTCCCAACGTGCTGGAGTTTCAGCTGGGAAGGTCTACAGATGGACAAGAGACTGAAGCAGGACATGATGTCTGGCTAGGAGAAAAGAGTAGCGTTGAGACGCGGAGCCAACACGTGGGAGACTTGGGCAGAGGAAGGGCATGTGGCAGGCAAGAGATCTCAGACCTGTTCCCCCTCCCCCTCCAACATCCCAGACCAACATCAGGTGATTCTCGCCCCCGCGAACAAGAAGGGAAAGAACGTGGGGACCCGCCAGCTGGCTCACTGGTCTGGGTTAGGTCTAACCCTGGAAGGAAATAAAGAACGCGTCCCCCATATCAAAGCTGGGGAGACAGGGCCTAAGACTCCATTCATCTGAGGCTGGGAGGCTGGGTGATCTCCCCCCATCCGTCATCACCTGGTCTGAGTTTTCCTACAATTGTCCCATCAGGCTACTGCCACGAAATACACATGGCTGTCTATCTGTCAGTACCCCTCTTGGTCCGAGTCGTCAACATCTAGGGCAGGCAAAGAGCGTTGAAGAATTCAGGATCCAGATGATGGGTGTCCCACCTGGGCCCGAGTGTGGGAGGTGAGAGGGTAGCGGAGGATCCTTGCTAATAGAATGGTTGAAGAGAAAAGTGACTGCCTGAACTGCCGAAAGTTCAAACATCCCCCACCCCCGGGCCAAACCCACCCCATCCCTGACCACAGCACCCATGGCGAGAGTGACTTCTCACAAACATCCCCCACCCCCGGGCCAAACCCACCCCATCCCTGACCACAGCACCCATGGCGAGAGTGACTTCTCAGATGCTTTCCCACGTGTGGACTTTCACAGACCAGGCAGGATTGGTCCTTCACTCCTGTGAAGCAGGTATTGGGCATAGCTCCAGAATTCCAGGCGAAGAGGCGGCAAGCACGCTGTCTCTCTGGGCTGGCTTTTGGACAAGCCAGTCAGGGGCGGAGGGTTGGTCTGAATGACCTTGAAGAATGTCAAGTCAACTAGGGTTTTACAGCTAATTCTCAATGCTTCAAATGCCCAGTTGTCTAGAGCCAGTTTACCTGATTAAACTCACTGCCATTGAGTCAATGCTGACTCATAACGACCCTCCTGGTGGGTTTCAAAGACTGTAACTATTTACGGGATTAGAAATCCCAGTCTTTCTCCCTCAGAGCTGCTGGTGGTTTTGAACTGCCGACATGCGGATCATAGCCCAGCACATAATGATGACACCACCAGGACTCCATAATCTACCTGGTTAGAATCCAAAAATTCAAAAACCAAACTCATCAGCATTGTGTCAATTCGGATGCCTGTCTATAGGACAGGGTAGAAGGAGCCTGTGGGTTTTCCAAGACTGTAACTCTTTTTTTTTAAATCATTTTATTGGGGGCTTCTACAACTCTTATCACAATCCATCCATCCACCCTATGGGTCAAGCACATTTGTAAATTTGTTGCCATCATCATTCTCAAAACATGTTCTTTCTACTTGAGCCCTTGGTATCCGCTCCTCATTTGTCTCCCAAGGAGCAGCTTTCTGTTTCAAACAGACGACCTTGCAATTAACAGCCCAGCACATGATCCACTATGTCACCAGAGATCCTGGTTAGAATCCCAGCTCACTAAGTATTGAACCTTGAATAAATTACTTATCGTTTCCTCAACTGTAAAATGGGGTAATAGTAGCAGGTGTCTTGTGGGGTTGTTGTAACATTAATAAAGTTAAATAAGGATTAAAATGCAGTGGGGTTTAGTGCCTAGTAAGCACCGCATGTTTGGCTTCAGTTCATACTCCGTTGGAGGATATGGGCAAGGGAAAAGGTAAGACTGGCCCTGACTGGTCTCAGGACGACATCATGCTCCTAGGAAACTCACCAAAGGGTGCTGGGGAGAGGAAGCCAACGATAAGTGCAGACTAAGAAGGCTACTGTGGGTTAGAGAGAGGTCTCTGTAGGGATGGCGTCAGGTTGGGTGACTTTGGCCATGACTGACGAAGTCTGTGTTCTTTTCTAGCAATCCCTTCCTGCCTCTGTTTGGTGGTACACCTCACGAGAGAGCCAGACATACTGTAAATGAAAGTCCTTTGAAAATGGTGAAAGCCTACACAACAGTCAGGGTGCTGTGGTCTCACAGAAACCAACAATCATACAAGTTCAGAAGCCCTGGGTCCGAGTCCCACCTCTCCCTCTCGTCTTGTGATGGCCTTGGGCAAGGCACTTCACCATTTGATCTTTTCTCTCCGGCTCCGTGAAAATCAGAGTTCTACCCGACTTGTGGGGTGGTTTTGAGGTCTGAATACAGAGGGTCCACTCGCCAATGTTTGATTTTTTTTTTTTTTTCATGAGCGTGACCCACCCGTCATCCATGCACAAAAGTGAGCCTGGGTTTGGGTTATTCTCTAACACATCGATTCAGCCCATTGATTGAACGCCAGTCCTTCCTCGTAAGGTCTTTTCTCGTGTTCTTTCTGATTCCTTTCAAGGCAGAAGATCAAACGTGAAGAAAACCAAGCTAGCTCACCTGAAGCCCCAGGTGAGCGCACAGAGCAAACAAGGGCAGGCATCAGTGTCTCCCTCCCTCCCTTGGCTCCAGCGCTGAGGCCCCTCCTCTGGCCTCCCTGACATGTGCTCAAGCAGAGGGATGGAGGGACGGCGGGGACAGGTCACAAAAGCAGGGTCTGGGACCGTGTTTCCTTAATCCACGGCTCCTGAACCTGCCAGAGCTGCGGTGTATTTAGCAGGTCAGGGTGTTTTCTCAGCAGTTGACTGCAACTATCCAGATCTGCCATCCTCGGCAATATTTCTTTTCTCTGCGACACAAACCTTCAGAGCAGTGGCGTCCAAATGACCCGCCTGCCGCCAGCAATTTGGGCTCTAATCCCTCCCCAGGCTTAACTTTTCGTGTCTAAATTGACAGGTGACTGAGCACCCTGGATCATCATTCCCTCGCCTCTAAAGTAGGGGACGTTGTCAACAAGCAGAGTGATTTCCTCAAACCAAATTGCTCCCTGGTATTTAAAGTGCAGCAAGAATACGGATGAGTTGCCTATCATCTGGGGGAGGAATGAATTCTTAGATAACAATCACCTCTGGGCCAAAGAGAGCCCACATCCAGCTGCCCTCAGGAGCTGCTGAAGAGGGAGGGTGACCATGACCGGGGCTGCCCCTGGATACCTGTGGAACTACAGGTCCAAAGTCAAGATCAGCTTTCATTCTCAAAGCAAGCCAAATGAATGGTCACTTGGTATGCTGCCCCGGACTAGGGAATGAAGCAATCTTTTCTCCATTTTGGCCATGTGAAAGCAACAATCCACCACTGTTGAAATAACTGGTCAGCAGTTCTAAACCACCAGGAAGATGGGACGTTCTACTCCCATGGGGAATTTACTATCTCAGAAACCCACAGGGGCAGTTCTCTGTACCTGTGGCACAGGGTCACTGGGAGTGGGAATTGACTCAGTGGCAGGGTTTGGGGGTTTTGAGGTGGAAGCAAACGTCAACAGTGAATGATGAAACTGTTACTATAGAGGGTAAGCTTTCTTTACAGGTAAAGCTTGATAAAGAAGTAAACCACTAAGTACGATTGATGGAGTCCCTTTGCTACAGTCTTAGCTGTTAGCAAGCACAATTTATTCTCATTCTGGACACGTCTCTAGATTTGAAGCGTTATTAAAATACTCGTCAAATCCCAAAAATAATAGTAGTTATTCATTAACTGCGATCGCATTAATTCCGACTCCTGCTGACCCATGCATTACAGAGTAGAACTGCTCCCCAGTTTTCTTGCCTCTAATCTTTACCAAAGCAGATGAGCAGGCTTCGGCCAGTCAAATCACACCATCCCAGAGAGAGTGGGGGAAGAGTCCAGCTTGGCACCTACAGAAACCACCCATGAAATGTGATGGATAAACCTGTCTTGAAACATCAAATTTTGTTATTGAAAACCGTTTAATCTCATAGTAATTCCTCTTTGCCACCAGAGAGATGCACCATCATTATTAAGCTGTCACCCTGGGCCGCCTCTCTGCCTTCTTGCTCCCACTGGAGATTAGAATTCTCCAGGGCTGACGGTGGGTCTGCCGACACTCAGAACCCTCTCCTGTGACTGCATGAACTTCAGCCTCCTGAAGCCTACAGAGCATTGCTGGTACAATGTGCCAGGACTGGTCCAAGAGAGAGAGCCCAGACAACTGAGAATTGCTCAGAGGGCCCCATTTGGCAGCAGAGCACCATGCTTGCCGCTGGATTTGAGGCCCAGATCTGCCACTTCTCGTCTCTATGAGAGGGGGAAACGACTCTATCTTGCTAAGCCCCAGCTTCCTCATCTGGAAAATGAGGATAATTACTACCTGCCTCGTATGATAAAGGTGAGGATTAAATGAGATG